TTTTTTTTGCCGAAACTCGACTGAAGCCGAAACCGAACTTTCGGTCGGACACTAATTGCCAACATTGGACATATCTTTTGGTTATTGTTGTTAGTTATTAGTTACATTTCACTAACTTTTCAGCAAATTTTTCTTTAAAAATATTAATTTATTCTATCATTTATAAATTTGATCGACATTCATCTAAATAACATATGTTTTCTGGTTTAGATTTGACTGTGATTAATCATTAGTATTATCTGTTTTCAACAAATCAACCAATTGCTCGAAATTAATAGAACTTATTATTTATTGGATTTGAAAGACATAATTACAGCGATCATTTTTAAAGGAAATACCACAGATCGTCCTAAATTATACAATTGCTTTTAGTAGGGAGAGGGTCAATTGGAGTAAAAAAAATTGCGCATTTAAGTTGACCGTTGGTTGATGAGGTGGATGGGATAGGGGTGGTTTTGTATAACCTAGAACACCAAAAAGGTGTTTAGATACATGACCACAACAGCATTCACTTTGTATCTGTTTTTCCTACCGCAAGCTTATTATCCGAAGCAATCTTATAAAAGCACTTTTCGTTAAAGTTCGGTTGGGTTACGTCATGTTATGTTGGTCTTTGACTGAAGATTGCTTTTATGTTAGTTACGGTAGAAAAAGTCAAAATGAATGTTGATGGAGTCTTCCTTCTAGCCCAATCCATTTGACAGAAGGTCCCATATCAATAAATACTGTTTATTTTTTATTCGGTTCTTGATCGAGCTACATGACCTAGAGGTCAAGACCATTGCTTAGTATTCGGGAGGACACCGGTCAGATTACTAGTCCGTCTGCCCTGGTCTTCTGTTTTTTTCTGGTTTCCATGAATCACGTAGACAAATGCTGGAAATTCCACAGATAATCTTTCACTCTCTTCTATCTTCATTTCGTTCGTTTCATTTTCACTATCACCACCGATTTCCACGATTGATCAGGATAAGAATAACCCAATAAGATTGTAGACTATAGTTTTCAATACAATATTGCAAACATTATTCCCAGGGATTGGACTTGAATAAGCAGCACTGCTATTAAATTTAAACGTACCAAGTTAATGAATCTAATATTTAATTGATAATGAGTAAATTCCACAANTATTCCCAGGGATTGGACTTGAAGAAGCAGCACTGCTATTAAATTTAAACATACCAAGTTAATTAATCTAATATTTTATTGATAATCAGTAAATTCCACAACTGATTGATAAAATAATTAATAATATGGCAAGATAAATATTTATGATTCTTTAAAGGGTTTTCAATTAACTGTTTTAATAGAAAATATATAATTAGTGATTACTTATTACGTATAAAGCAAAACATCCGTTAAGATTAAATAAACGGGAAGTACAAAAAGCAAACACGATTGAAATAATTCAATGTGATTTGTAGTATTTTTTGCTAATAGGCTAGTCTCTTTCTTTCGCGTAGAGGTCAAGAACCGGATTTTTTATATCAGGGATCAAGGTCGTGTATTGTGATGTCATTCTGGATATTCGGTAGCACCCCTCATCAAGGACCCGGATGCGCCATCTGCTTTTAGTTAACGTTAGCAGGAAGTTCCTGGTGAAATGCAGACTTCGATTACAAAAGCTTTCCAACCCGCGAAATCTGTACTTTCAAAGTAGGAAACCTTTAATGTACGATTTGTAAAATGCTCAACTGATGACTCAAGTTATATTAATCAATCTTTCATTGGGACATCTAAAATGATCCACACGGTAAAATATTAAAATAAAATTACAATAATAATAATGACAAATGCGAGTGGAACTCGCGTCCTGACGAATCCGCACCCTTACTTATGTATTTATAAAGCTTTCTAAGTAGATGGTTGCTATTATTACTTTTAAAATACATTCGCTTGTAACGACTGAATAAAGAATGAATCATAGCGCCTTGTATATCAAAGTCAAAGGAATTAAATCATGATTTCGCAATTTATTCTTTGCGTCTGCCAAGAGCTTTCCACATCAGGAAATTACCGTAAATAATAGAGAACATCTCTTACAAAAAAACTCTAAAGCATTTCAATCAGTTAACAGGGTACGTAATTAGTGGATAGTGACGTAAATACTGTATATACAAAGTAATAGGGAGTGATATACTATTAATTCAATGTGAGGTAAATGTCTAGATGATGGCTAGCTGGGATCGAATGAGGAGGTCTCCCCCACCACTGTACCATAAAAAGTTATGGGGGTTAGATGGGGATGGAGGTAGGGGGGATCGAAAGAGGGTAGGGGGATCGAAGGAGGGTGGTCACATGAGTAAAACCCCATAAAAAATTTGCGGCGGTCTCACCCCCATAAAAAGTTATGGAAGTTGAAAGTTGATTTTTTTGACAATTTTCATACACTATAATTCAAATAAAATTCAATATAAAAAATATTTTCAAGCGGGTGGAGGTGGAGAATCGAAAGAGGGTGGTCACTTGAACAAAACCCGATAACCTAACCTAACCTACCCTATTGATAAAGATATTTAAATAATGTTTTATGTAACTTTCTCAATATTTTTATGTATTTTTCCATTAGTTTTACCTTTGAATATTGTTTAATAATGACTATATAAATATTTACATGCCAAGAAATGCATAAAAATTGGCAGATTTATTAACTTTGAACCCCTATAACTTTTTATTGGGGTGAGACCATCACGAAATTTTTATGGTACAGTGGTGGGGGAGACCTCCTCTTTCGATCCCACACACCCCCACCCCCGAAGGAGGGGGGCATCATCTAGACATTTACCCATTTACCCAACTTAAAATTACCGTACATATAGATGTTACTGTAGTAGTTTTAGGTGCTGTTTTTTAAGAAATTTTATTGTAATTATTGAACTTTTCCTGTGAATTCTTTGTTCTTTTTCTGTTAAAATAATAATTCTAATTTTGTGAGAAAGTTGACTGGGGCAGGTAATTTTATTTTCGTTTAAATAATACCGGTGAAATAAAGGTCGAAGTTGTTAGAGTTCAAGTCTTTATTGTAGTCAGACAACAGTATTGCTCGCTATGTATTTTATGGCATTTTTAGACAAGTTTAAAACAATTTATATATGTATAATATATTGCATTTATTCGTATTATATATTTGTGTATATTAGATACTCTACATTTTAACGTCCTCTTCAATATCAATCTCTTTGTTTTTGTACTTCTATCACAGAGCATTTCAATACGCGTTCAATAAAATTAAAACGACATTTGTATGTGAATAATGCATAAGGTAATAACATTTTGTGTATGCCTATCAGTACATTATTTACTTGTTCATGGCGTTGGATGATTACTTGTCGAAAAACGCCACGAAGTTTATGAAGTTCGATGATTCAAAATTTGCATGTCGCGAATTAACAATTGGTGGTGTTTTTTATTAGAGCAAGAAAGCGCGTGTGTATTAAAGAATTTCTCTCTTCTAGAGCAAGTAAAGGCATTTTATGTTCCAGACACCATTAATATAATGGCACACAGTTGCAAGAAAGAGCATACATACATTTTTACATAATTAAAAAAGTTTTGTTTAGATTTACATAACGATGTCTTTGCAACAAAGCAGTGGCATCTGATGACGGATTATGGTGGTATACGTGTAAGTGGATTTTAACTCTTCGTTACATTGTTAGATTATATCGCAAATCAATGTGATGAAGTTTTTGATAGCGAGTTAGATAGCTAAACTCAATGATAAGAAAACGAAACGTAAATGCCAAAATAATTGTTATATTATCAAAACCTGTTTATCTTGCCGAATTCTTATTGATTTCAGTTGTTTTAGTCTTTAGGGAAGAGAAAAAGTAGGGAAAGACTAGACTGAATATAAAGATAGCAGACGAAAAATTAGTTAATAAAGTCGTTGATTTTCGGTATTTAGAAAGTCAGATAACTAGCAGTAGAGATATAAAACAAAGAATAGCTCAGGGTTCAGCTGCCTTTATCAAAAAGAAGTCACTTTTATCCTCTCGAACGGTTAATTTAAAATTTCGAGAAGAATTTTTAAACGTGTATGTCTGAATGACAGATCAGTACAAGTGCGCAACATGGACGACAGGAAAAAAAGGTTAAAAGCGTTCAAAGGGTGGTACTACAGGTGGATAATGAGGATGTCGTGGATAGAAACTGTGAGAAATGAGGAGGTATTAGAAGGAGTAGTAGTAGAGGGCGCTATGGAAATTTCTACGAAATAGGACACCTTCTCAGGCATGACGGGATAGTTAGAGACATATTGGAAGCAGAAACAAGAGTTAAAAGGAGTGGAGGTGGACTTAGATTAGATTGCTGTTCATAAATAGTTAAGGATGTCGGATGTTCTAGTTTTAGGGAAATGAGAAGATTAGGATTAGAAAAAGTGGAGATGCATGCTTAACTAATCTTAGGTCTGACAATCCTACGATGGTGATGATGATTCCGATCCTTCATCCTTGATCTTAAGGATGATCTAATTATGAAGAACTCTTTCAGATTATATATTAACATCAGAGAATCTTGTAAATATCCTATATGATCAAAGACGAAACGTCGACAATAGATAACATCTATAGAATCCTAAGTCAGGAAACCAACAGGGGTAAGATAATTATTTATTGTTAGAAGTAGAAAAAGGCGAAACTTAGAAGTCAGCTATTGTCATTTGCAACAACGAATGGATGGATACTTATCAATAGTGCAAATCTGCTTTTTGCTAATTGTTTTTGTAATAACTACTCTTTTGATCATCTTTAAAATTTGAATGTACTTGGCATTTACATGTCGTTTTTGTTATCACTCTTTTGATATCGCTCTTATGAACATGTCACATGAGGAGGGTGGGCATCAATAGTGATGTGCAAAAGTACCTATAGGAAAATGAATAGACTGCCAGCTTTGTCACTATGACATAGATTTTGTATCGAGTTTTGAGCTACTTAAAATTTACAATTGATTTCTTATTGATAATCGTCTTTCTGTTTAGACGTTAAACAAAATCTTTCGTTTTTTTATAGGACGGCGTTTGTGCAACTTCTTCCAACATTTTAGTGTTTTCTGTGGGACTGGTGGCCGAACTTTCGGGCGAAGTTAATTTGCTAGTGGGCGTCGGAACTTGCGGTGCTGCACCTTTGCTTCTGGTTTTCGATCTTCGTTTCTTCAGAATGAGCGGTCCCAGACCGGTGCTTTCCATGTTACTTGCAGGTTTCGGTATTAGTTCGGTTGGCCTTTCAAAGTTACTGCTGTTGGAAGACTTTCGAACAGTTGGTTCTCCGTCACCCTGAGGCGATTGTGAACTTGAACCGCTATCCGACGATAACCTCTTCAAGATTTCCTGAAGAGTCTCCTCCATCTTTCCCATCCTTTGGTTTAGCCTTTGAATCTCTAATTTGACATCCACCTTGAAATCCATAAGGTTCGTCATCAATTCTCTGTACTCTTGCGTAGCGATAAAGTCTTGGACGGGGTGTTGGTAAGACTGAGCGGGTAGTGGTTCCCTTAGGCCACCGTCGTAGCTATCCATCTTTCGTAGGCTAAGATTTCGGATCCTTGGGGTACCTAATTCGACAATTTCGTCAATGGTATCCTGTCTCATCATGCTGGGAGTAGCAGTTGTGGAAACCTTTTGTAACTTAGGAAATACCTTATTCCCTGATCCTCCTGAGTTACCCGAAGATGAAGAACTAGGTCGGTCTTTAGACGTGTCTCTTGCACTTAGGCTGCGTGTAAAGGTTTGCTGCTGAGCGGACAATTCTGATGCCGAGTCTAGACTGGAGGAACCCAGAAGCCTCCCCCATTTGCTGGTCCTATTTGGTCCTACTCTTGTCACCTTTGTTGTAACACCGTTGTTACTTGAATCGTCTTTTTCAGCAACCGAGGAAAGTTTCGTTGCCGACGTTACTCGAACTATCGGTTTATCACTAGAATCTTCTCCCTTTTCGACATCCGGTGAAGGCTGTGTAGCTGGTGAGGTGTGCTGAGAGCGATCCCTCCTAAATTTCGAAAATATTTTTCTAACGAGATGATCTTGGTTTTGATCCAGTTGCGGTTCATTTTTGCGCCTTTCGGCCAACTCTTTCTCTCGTTTCACATCTGCTACTTTTCTGAATATAAGGCGATGTCTAAGGTTGTATGTTAAAACTAAATTCCTAGCAAAACTGTTTGCGAAAGCCTGATAAAAATCTAACACTTCTAACAATTTGTCTCTTTTAATCATATGTAGATCACAATAAGTTAGAGCGCGAACATTTGCTGCCGATTGTCCCACCGCGTTATCCTTCCAAAAGGAATCTCCAAAAACGTCACCTTTTCCTGTAAAAATAAGCCATGCTTATTCCTGTAAGTGATCAGAATTCGTGTAATTTACCTAAAATTGCTACTACTTCGTCGTCCTGTATAACTTCTAGCGATCCTGTTACAATGAAACACAGAGAATCGATGGATTCTCCTGTGTGATATAGCAAGTCACCAGGAGCTGAATGAGACATGGTGAAATGCATGGCTAAAGCTCTTAAACAACCATCGGAGGCCAAGCGAAAGGCTGGATGTTCATTAAAAACTTTTCTATTTAAATGAACACATATATCAGCTTTCATATCCTTCGGGCAGAAGTTTAGCACCTGAAATTTAAATTGGTGCAATCAACTTTTACAAGTGGAGATAGAAATTGGATGAAAAATATATAGAGGAAAGTCTCTTAATTTTGGATACTTTTATAATCGAACTATTTGCTTCACACATGTTAAAAACCTTTAGTTTTGTGGGTTCATTTACAAAAAACGGCTTTGAGATAACACATTATCCAAAATTAGGCGAGTTTCTTCTACCATCTATATAGGTAGCTGCATAATTTTCTTTTAAAGAGAGTACAGTAGATTTCATTTATTAAGACCTTGGTTGTAGCGACCATTTTGCTACAGCGACGTTAAATCTAAGTCCCTTGAATTTAAACGATACAAAATTCTTGTGGGTATAGCGACTTCGGATGTAACGCCGTGTTCGGGTGTAGCAACTGAATCGTTTGTAATAAATCCCTAGTAATCCCATGCAGATATAGCGACGGGAGTCGGCCACAAAAAACGCAAAGAGCTTTCTTATCTTTTGTTTACATCCACACAGATGATAGTTAAGTTACAAAGTCATATTCTGAGTCGCAACTGTTTAATAATCTTTTGAGTATGACTCCTAGATGCACATTTACTGTTAAAAAAGGCAGAAATCGTTTGAAAATTGAAAAATGGTGAAAACTATTGGGATCAGTCAAATGGGCATACACCATCTGGTGGCAAAATTTATAACTCGAATGAGGGAAAAATTTACATAGGAACTGTGTACGCAAATTATAGAATTGTTTATTAAAATAATAAAACACGTTAAAAAAGTAAAAATTTTTTTGATGATGGAGTCGACGAAGTTTTCTTCTAAAGTTAAATCAAATAAAAAGTTAATATGTTCAGTGAAAAGCTGCAATAGCACTTCAGACATAGATCTTCACTCTTCACCTACATTAACTACTTTCCAATAAAAACTAACCGTTTTATATATGTAAAAAATATATTCGGAAAATTAGAGAAAAAAGTAAACTAATAGAAGCTTGGATGAAAGCAGTAGGTATCAAAGAAGTGAATTCCGGAATAAAAATTTGTTCACGTCATTTTAATGCACATGATTATATTTCAGCAAGTATTTACCATCAGCCATAACCTTAATATTTAAAACTAGAATCATACTAAAATTATAAAGTGAGAAATTATTTATTCCTGTGTAATTGATTTAACACAATTCTAATGATACGATATAAGTATTTTGAGGTTAAGAACCTACCTGCTGCAATACAACAAAGTTGCAATAATGTGTTTGCAACGTTCTCTTAAATCGGCTTTGCACGTGCAAGTCATTGATATGATATTGCTTAAATCACCCAGAATCACCTCACCAATTATATAACGTGAATCACTTTTTAAATCCGAAGTTTGTAAAAAGTAGGCAGTAAACTTGACGGAATTTGAAGGCTAGCTTCCGGATTTGTTATTTCCGAATTTTATAATGTGATTGGCATTAAAAACACGCTCACCTTCAACGAAATTTCCTTTCAGAGGTTTTGTGTCAGCCCAATCACATATTGTGTGAATACTTATCATTTTATCGTAATTTAAAAACTTGGAAATTGCACGGTACACTATAGGAACTATGATAAATTTTCCCTAATCGGTGCCATGTTTGTAGGCTCCTCCCATTTGACGGATCCCAATGTATCTCTATACCTATGCCTGTAACGACTTTCGGATATAACAACGAAATTACGGTGGTTCCTTCGTCGTCGTTATAACCGAAATCCACTGTATTTCTATCATAAACTTCCACGGTCGGCGTGGTTTGTGGTATTTTTTGTCAGACTGCTTTGTGGTAATTTTTTAAACATTGCCCTGTTCTTTGTTGACGACACCTTCAGTATGAAATTGTTAGCAACTCACAATCAACAATTATTACCAACCAAGTGAACACTGAAGATAACGTTAGTAAAAGGCTATTGAAAGAAAAATTTTCATAAACTATAACAAAACAGTGGATATTATTATTCTTAGCAAATAGCAACATCAATTCTCATAACTGGTACATACTATAATTCAATCTAAATCTTGTTTGTTTGATAGTTGTTATATTTTGAAATAACTTCCTTCTATCTGACCTTTGTATACATTTCAGGTTACGTATAATAAAGGTTAAAGCTTCAACACTGAAACTTTGTAGTAATTAATTATGATTTGAAGTAAGCGTACCTTGTCCTGATCTAACCCTTTGGTCATCGCCCACGTTGAAACTACATAATCCATAACTCGTTCCGACAAAGCCTTTGGAACTTCATGCAATTTCATAAATTCTCGGACGTTGTTTAACATGTCGTGGTACTTCGCTGTCGCGCTCGTCATTTGTTGAATAATGGTAGTGACGTGTCCGAAAATTGTTGCGTATAGAAGAGCTGAAAGTCAATTATTCTGAATTAAAGCATTTTGAAAAATCGTAACAACATCCCATAAATAAATAATTCACTAGAACATATCCTAGAATTTTTTACCAACTTCTATAAGAAAATTGGGTAATTGGTTAATCAGACCTTTGTTCGTTCAAAAAAAAATATTTCACTTTAACCAATTAAACGTAACTTTTAGAAATGAAACTTATTAATTGTTGAAACTGATCTATTAATTGATAACAGAGAACACCCCGAGTAAAAGTAAAAATAATTATAGCACCACCGAATCGCCTCCAAATATCTGAAATGACCTAAATTACCACCGAAATAGTTCTTACAAATTAGACGAAAATTTAAATTCTAAAATTACAGCCAAAAAAATTACCCTTTGAAACTCTAAAACAGTTCCAAGCTAGCACCACATTAAAAAACATCCAAAAGAGCCCTCAAACAGCGCCTCATCAAAAAATATATTACAATAGCACTAAAACAGCATCACATACAAAATCATCTAAAACAGCACCAAAACGTACCGTATATAAAAATGAAAATATTGATTAATTAATACCAATTTATCCATCAGATATTTAA